TTTCGCTAAAAAGGCTTTTGGGGCATTTTGTATGGAATTTATTTTCACTGATTTTTGATGAGTTTAATGTAAAATATAGGAAAAAAAGTATATTCGCTGGATTTTATTTTCACGGAATCATCCCTTCAGCGAAAATAGCGAAAATAAATTCCAAGCGAAAATAAAGTATTCTACAGTATCACCTCACAATTTTCACAATTGCACCTTAAAAGAATGACCCAGTTACCCTTAGCATGATGAATCATCTTTGGAAGACAATGAGTGGTGGTCTTTAGCTGCCCTTTGCCCCTGGTGCAAGGAAATGTAGCAGGGCACTGACAATTTAAACAGGGCGCCAATTTCAGATAACAGGATACGGCGCCCCGTTTAAACCCCTCGTGTTACATCTTCTCTGTATATCAAGAGGGAAAATCTACAAGTTTTCAACAGGCAGTACAATAAATTTCATCTCACCAAATATAGCTTTATTATAAGTATCTGATTTTGCTTTACAAGAGGAATCATCGCCACCACATATACCACATTTATCTTTTCGAGTAGATGACCCCAATACATGATCACATCCGGCTTTCTAAAAAAAAAGAAGTGTATTGTCATTTAGACTATAGAGGGCGCTATCACTCAAGATTTGTATAATGGGAAACACATGTATTATTATCCACTGGGTTTTAATTTTGCTATTCGTAAATTAAATAGAACTTTTTGTTTCAACAGAAAATCCAGTAAATATGATTGAATATCAAAATAATGAAATAAATTATCAATGACAAAGTTTTCACAGAAGTATTTGTTCATAAAGAAGAAAATAAGCAGACTATCACAGCAGAACACACAAATTGCATGCAGACAGTAGTTAAAAGCAATAGTTTGGCATAAATATTTATTAGCTCTATACTTATGTTTAAAGTTTATGCACCTTGGTTGCTGTCTTTTGAAGACTGGCGTCTGACCAAACTCTCAGCAAAGTGAATTCTATGGACTTTTTTGAATTTTAAAATAGCATGAATAGAATACTAGTGTGAACCATTTATTTTCATTGATATTTAATTCACTATTTTTAAGTCCACAGATTTGCCAAGGAAACAATGAGTTATATTGTAATTAAACAAGATGGCCACCAGTCAGTCATCTTTGATCTGATTGTAAAACAAATTGTCATGGACATGTAAACTAAAATGTACAATGTATGTACCAAATTTGAACAAAAACTAACTAAGCATGCATAAGATACCCTATTTTGAAAAAAAACAAAATGGCTGCCAGTCGGTCATCATTGATCCGATTAAGAAACAAATCGCCATAGACCAGTATGAATTAAACATATTCCATTATTGACGTGAAAAAACCACATATACCGGTATGTGTAAAACCATCAATTATAGTCAGCTGATGTAACTGTAGGGTCTGGTTCTCACTGTACACTAACTATAAATAGCACAGAAATAGCAACCAATAAGAATTTGTTTACAGACGGTTTTCTAGTAAAATGCATTCTAATTGGTTGAAAAATTGAAAAACTGGTTGAACACAACTTACATAAATTAGGACTTTACATTTCAATATTAAGGAGTGTCTAAAAAATTACTAACCCTGCATAAACCACGAACACATATGTCATCAGTATCTGGCCCGCATGGTGTGCCATCAACAACCATTTTAGCTAGCTGGTGATAATGAGCAGTACCAGATGCCCTGCAAAATAACTTACATCTGTCTTGTATTTGAACTGAAAAAAAAATAAATAGACAAGTTTTGAAAACTAGTAGAAACCAGTTTAAACTGGTATCCTCATGGATGTGACACCGTCAACACTGGTAGAACTAGTAGAAACCAGTTTAAACTGGTATCCTCATAGATGTGACATCGTCAACACTGGTAGAACTAGTAGAAACCAGTTTAAACTGGTATCCTCATGGATGTGACATAGTCAACACTGGTAGAACTAGTAGAAACCAGTTTAAACTGGTATCCTCATGGATGTGACATATAGTCAACACTGGTACAACTAGTAGAAACCAGTTTTAACTGGTATACTAAATAGATGTATTGAAAAACGGTAGAAACTAGTTTGAACCAGTGTGCAATCAGGGATGTGACAAATGATGTACACTTACTTCCACTATATTTTGGAACATATCTAACATTAGGAGGTAGATTGTTGAGATTAAAATGTTGCCCATCATAGTATGAACACTGTTGTTCTCGAAAACTTGGTTGTCCTGGAGGGCAAGGCTGAAGGGAAATACAAAAATATACATAAATACCTGTGTAACCTTGGTTAATATATTGTGAGATTCTGTAAATGTAATGTATGTATTCAATTACTATTCATCATTTCTTGTTTATCTACATTTTATGCAATTTGAAAAAAATTATCGAACAAACCAAAATAATCTGTCAGTGTACACTAATGAACATTAGTATGATAATGTGTGTGTCAATGCAATGGTGCTGTCAAGTCAAGATTGGACAAAAACCAAAGTGTTTTCACAAAACTGCAAGCCATCTTACTAATTAACTGTCCAACTGCTATAAAATTAGAAATATTGGTGAAACAGACTGACACAAGCTAACATATGTTTGTGCTTTCACCATACAATAGCTAAACAATGTTCATATGTCAGTTACATATGTTGTTAACATACTGTAGCTGCAATACAGCAATGAATAAAAACAAAAGAATCACTTCCTAAAAAACACTGACACTAGAGGGAGATCAGCATCAAGCTTCACTATTTTCACTGGAAAAACTTATAAGATAATTTTATACCTAATAACAAGATTTACAGTTACTTACAACCAAACTTAACTTTCCAAACACTATCCATTTTTTTTAGATTTATTAATCCTCGGGCGGACATCCGGGCATTTTCATCGCATGGCAACCATCACGGTGAAAACAAAGGCCGAAAACTCTCAGAAAATGGTACTTTGGGACGGTTGTTGAGACTCCCCTGAACAGTGTAACAAGATTACCTCTGCGTGTGTAACACATATAAATTTGATTGTTCAGGATTACTTCAAAGTTGAGTTCCTGTTGTTTTCTCACATTTTCACCGGCTCTTCACTCGGCGTTCCGTGTTCGTCAGTAGCGCGCACTGAGCCCATAGAAATACAGGGTACAGTGGTGCGTGTCTTAGCAACGTGGAACGTCTTGTGACGTAGTTCCGCCCCGAGCATATACAACATGATGGCTATGGGTCCCATATAAAACAGAACGTGACACAAACTGCAGTGTATCAACATTAGTTTCTCATTCAGCATTTCATAATTCCTTGTAGAAAATGCGAGAAATTACATTTTTCTTACTTTTTCAAGCAACTAATCATGAATTAATTAATACAAAACATGAAAGTGAAATTCATTAATCTGCAGTTACCTTTGTATGACATGGTTTGAATTTTGTTCTTCTACCAATGCAATATTTACCACCATTCTTTGGATGTGGATTCGTACAATATCTCTCTGATGATTTTACTCCACCACCGCATGTTCTTGAGCACTGTGTATATGGTGACCATTTATCCCAGCCTCCATTTACAGGCTTGCTGTTATGAGTTTTATTTTTACACTCACCCTGAATGCACCACTACAAGTCAACAACATAATAATAATAAATGTAGATGGATCACAGCAGGTGAATGAATCCAGTATTCACATAGATTACAAGACAAATTATACTAAAATTACTACCATGAGAGAAGTACTATTACGGTTGTACTGTTCCGGTCTAGAATGTATATTTGATTCAGTTATCCAAAGTACCAGTGTGTAAACTGCCATTTAATTCTCTTAACTGTGTCTTTTCAATTTTTTTAAGAAATGTATTAGATTTGTGCATCTCCATTAAAAGAGCACATAAAGCAAATACTATATGATATATTTAGATAACTCTGTCATTTATGCAAGTGTATGCACTACCAATAGAGCAAATACAGATAAAATATTCTGCTACTGTTAACGGGTAGTGGTCATTGTACTGCATTGTGATGATATGGATGGGTCCTGTATTATCGACGTATAATTTGCATGTAAAATTCACTGCTTTTCAATTTCAATACATCCTGCACAAAAAACAAAGCCCTTTAGGAGATATTAAATCACATGCAAAGAATACTCTACCTTATTTTCATCACACCATGTACCATCTGCCCAGGGCATATGTTGTGTTCTACAGCCCTCAGACGAAAATGGACTTGTACACCAAAGCCTTTTACAGGCTCTCTAGGAAAGAAAAAAAACACACAATACAACAACTCAAGCTATTTAATTATTAAAATTAAACAAGCCATAGATGGCACAGTTCCCATTAATTATCAAATTTAAGATATATAGTTTTGTTTATAGCAATATAGTTGGAACAAAAACATGTCAGAAGTATGGATCCAGAAGCTGATGCTTGATTATGAAGATTTGTTAACATTAAAATGATTGACATCTTGTATCTGATCATTGAGTACTTGTCTATATTGAAAAATATTGCTCTGGAACAGCATTAATTAAAACAAAATAGCCACCGGTCTGCTGTTTTGAATACATTCATATATCTATAACATGATGTACCGGTATAACGAATATATAAAAGATATGTCAGAGATATGGCTCTAGAAGCACGTTCATTAAAACAAAATGGCCACCAGTCAGCCATTTTGAATTTAATCTGAAAAATAAAATGAGGAACCCTTAATGTCTTATGTATGTACCTAGTTTGAACAAAACCCAACCATAAATGCTTGATTTTGATGATTTTTTTAGCACAAAAATGGCCACCATTCGTCCATCTTGAATCAAATCGTGAAACAAATTAATGTGCATATGTATAATATTATGTATGATGTATGTATGAAGTTTGAATGTGATTGGTCCAAGCATGTCTAGGATACAGGTACGGACGGACGGATGCACAGACATATGGACACACGGATGCACAAAGGTCAATCCATAAGTCCTTGTTTTCGGACTGCGTCTGAACGGAGACTAATTATTTGTTAAAGTTTGAAAAACCAACTGGTCAGTCAAAGGCTAAGCTGTGAGCCAATATAAGATTCAGTGAGATAACTTGCTGCCCAAATACTTGACTTGCTATAACACTATAAAGATGAATATATATTTATGTGATACATACCATATATGGGCAAACGGTTGAATTGGCTCCAATTAGCAGTTCACATTGTCTGTTCACATTGTATTGAGTTCCAGGCTGAGCTTTAGGTAAGACATACATCGAACTTGGTGGCCTGTCCAATAAACACTCACCATGCCCAAGACTATAAGAAATTAATAACAATTGATATAGGATGGATTTGCGTGAAAAGTTCATATAAAATATCTATTGACAAAAAAAACATGTAACCTAACAAGTAACAAGTTTAAGAGATATATAAGATATTTTAAATCTGAAATGATAATTATACATGTTCAATGTATTCAGCATCTTGTCTATGTACAACTAAGATCTGGTTCCAGTATAGCAGAAATGGATTATTCTGATGCATTAAAATTAAAATGGCCACCATTCGACGCAAGCACTGGTTCCTATTATTTAATTATATAAACTAGACAAACCTGCAGCAACATGTTTTCTATTAGAAAACTCATGTTGATATGTTTGTGGACAAATATATTCGCATACTCTAATCAAAAGGCCTTGACATTTTTGGCATGAATCCATGTGTCATTAGTGAATGTTTTTTTTTTTTATTACGACAACAGCTACTACTACTATAACTTACTTAACAAGGCTGACATTTACAAGAAAATTCTTGATTACTTTTGCTCTGGTGTAATGAGAACTGTGTACCCTAGGAGTACTGAATCATTGATGTATAATTGGGATTTCATCAAAATACAGGTGCTATATTTGTTGTACTAGTAGTCCAAAATATATGTGGTAGAAGTACATTGTCTATCATGTGGTCAACAATGATTACAATCAAGACAACTTAGGTTTAGGTGTGCTTCTGCAACAGATGTGCTTCTGATAGAGAAACTACAGTATACTGCATAGAATTTAGTGAATTAATAGCTCAGTTTTTATTTGTGCTTATTTTCCTGATACCGATACCTCATGCAGTTAAAGAAAGCCTAATGAAGTTAACCATTTTTTTCGTCATTTCTTTCACAAACCAATGAATTTAACACCTAGTGAATATTTTCCTGCTACCCCAAATTAATAAAAAAATGTATTCTACATTTTATAATACCTTTACATATTTCACTTACAATTGTCCTAAGTTACAAACAGAAAACACTGAAATGATAAAGTTGTAATAGACACTCTAGTGCATTGTTGGAGCTGATGCTTTTGAACATCTGGATACATTTATACAAGTAATACCATTGCATCATGTTATCTTTGAATTAACCCTGTTCAATCAATCTGTATCCCTTGAAGATAATTCCAATGAGCAAAGCATAAGAAGTTATAATTTCTGGGATGGACACCAGATATGACAACACACTGAATTAAATCTACTCTGGTAACTTGATGTCTTCTATTCGTAATTTCTGCTGATAGTTAAATTAAGATAACAAAGCTTGAGATTACTGGATATGACAACTAGCCCACCCAACATCAATGCTTGATTACAAATCAAGGTCTAACTTGACACACAAAACCATGCAGGCTAATTTCCATCTGTGTAGATGGTAGGATAAATGAACTGCAACATATGTTTTTTTGATGGAGAGAAGTAAACACTAAGAAATAGAGTATTAGCTTACTTTAAAAATTCTGTTAGTTCATTTTTACTGCAGACTGACCAGGACCATGGGTTTGTGTTATAAGTTAAAGTTGGTGCCATTACATGCAACTTTCCTGTATTGTTTTTTGCACACTTGTTTCGATCATCATCATGAGGTAGGTTAAATCTGAAATATAGAATGAAAATAATGGCAGTGAAAGTAATAGAATTTATAATATTTAAAAAAAAAGTAAACAGTTGATATGTGATTCAAGCATTCTACAATAACAAACTACACATTATCTGAATGGTTAGTTTGCTGTAAAAGATAATACACTTACACATGACCAAGTTCATGAGCAATCGTGAATGCAGCACTCAGACCATTATCTTCTACAATTGAACAACTGCGAAATGGATCACACATTGTACCCAATTCAGCTAAACCTATTGGTAGAAAATATTAAATATAAATGAAAAAGGTATGCAGGAGAAGATTCCTTTGAGGGGCTACCAGCTACTTTTTTTGTAAATATATTTGAATTTGTTTTACTGACCCAAATGACCTTTGTGGTACCAAATGAGAAAACAAGGTACAAATATGACAGGTCAGATGACATATACGATAATAGCATGAAAATAGATTAATAACAAATCTATAAAGATCATCAATAGACATTTATTTTTATTAAACTTCTAATGTTAAGATTAGCCAAGCATAGTCAGGTTTCTCATTACACAATTGGTATTTTATGGGGTATTTTGATCCTACCATATAAGGAAAAGCGAATTCCAAATATGGAATCATTACGCGCATAAGTGTCCACTAATAATAAAAACAAACATGGCAACCACCAGAGTTTGACAGAACTCCACACAATGAAGTTCGCTGATTCTGATCTAAACTTTTTGGATTTCGGCATTCTCATAATGTATCCTCGAGAGAAAAAATGTATAATAATAAGATTATTACAAAAATACCTCAAAAACATTATATGCGCGTCGCTCGAACTGTACTGTCTTTGTGCTTACTTTGAAGTATTCTTGTAATAATCTCATTATATAATTCAACAATATTCAAATTTCAAACTTGATTCCTACCCCCAAACCAATGTGGAGAATGCAGTGTGGCCATACACTGAAGATACCGGTGACATAAATTGTAAGCATGATACAAATTTATCATAAGGTACTGTTCAGTAGCTGACTTTAATTAAACATTCATATAAAATTACTAGAATGATATAATATTGTCTTACCGAGAGTATCGCATTTGTTAGTTGACCTGCATATGTCTTGTCTGTAAGCAGAAAAGAGAAAAAAAAAAAAAAAGTTAGTCTTAAATACATAATATTTTTTCCTGGTACAGATGAAATGTCTTAGCCAGATACAAAATGACAGTTAATGCTGCAAAAAAAACTAATGATGAAAATGTACCCCTAATCTTTATTGCAAACTAGTAAGCAAAGATGGAAGACTTAAAGTTGTACTGTCACAATAGTGTGTACCACTAAAAATCACTACTACTGGTACATATAGTTATAAGCACTGATCACAATAAATCAATAAAAATAATACCGGTATGCACATTTCTTGAAATACTAATGCAAGTAAGTCTCTGAAAGAAATGGTTAGGGTCTATTTTAGGTTACTTTTTCAAGTGTATATACCTTACAATGTCTTATAACTTTGTGCCATAACCGGGGTATCAGCAACCATGCCCACTAGAAAATGTAGATTGCAATATTTCCAGTGCAAGGGATAAAACATTTCAGGGTTTTTTTATCATCTAGTCCATAATAAGGGTTGTACACTTTGACAATATGAAATGAAATGAGTTTCATTGACATATGTTAGTCAATGATCTTATCATACTACAGCACTATTCAATCACTGAAGAAAGCCTTGTCTTACATTTTACTTGCACATCTTCATTGTTTTGTGCAGAAAGTTTCTAAATATATTTCATACTATACAGAATTGTGACAGTAGTGCTTCAAGACATTGCGATGGAAAAAAATAAAACATAATGAATTTGATATGTTTACCATCAAAATTGTGTATTTTAATTTTGGAACAAAGAAAAACATTCCTGAAGACCTATGCCACTTTTTACACCCTTAAGTACCGCTATATCAGAAGTGGATACTTCAAAGATCTATTACATGGAGTACAATAAAAGTCAAAACATTTATTAACTGCGTCCATTTATATTGTCTCCTCCCTAAAAGGTAAATCATATTTCTCCAAAATTATATACAATTCATGGGAGCAGTTATAATACTAGAGCATGAAACTATAGTACAAGAAGAAATATGGTAGCTATTTTATAAGCATAGGCAATTCAAGTAAACCTGAGTGAAGGTATAATACATAACTCACAGGGAAACGTAATGCTATGTATGAGAAAGTACCAGATGTGCGATTCAAATTGGTGAGCACGACACTAAATTGTCTAGCTGCACGCCCCAGTGTGGCTTCCACTCGGCCACCAGGATCCCCAAAAAAGGATCCATGAGAGATGGTGAAATAAGAAGTGATTAGCCAAAATTGTACTACTACTGGGTTAGGAGTGTTCTGACCACCATCCACTATGCTGTGTGCATTCAATTGGCCTTGTGGGGTAGTACATGCTCAGTGTGGCATAAGACTAGGTATTAATTAAGCATCTTTTTTCCTTTTTTGGTGCCAGGTGGCTGAATGGAAGCCACACTGGGGCATGCAACTAAGCAAATATGGTGCTGTGGTCACCAGTTTGAATAACACATGGTACTTTTTCATATATAGCAATAAATTTCCCCCTGAGTCATTCCCCTGTAGAAGCTGCTCTGTCAGATTAAGTTCAAGTATTACCTGATAGATTCCTGATGGATGGCACAGAAAAAAAAGTAAAAAATTGGAGGTTAGTAGTATGTAGTGATTATGACTACTGAATGTGGATGGGGGGAAAATGTTTGTGTTTATTTACATGGAGTATTTGGACAGTACAGCATTTGTCTTATCTAATTATCTCATTCATTCATGCACTGCATTTATCATCGTGTCCATGTGTGAGTGTGACCCTGTCAAGTAGGAAAGCTGTATATGTATATTGTAATAGAAATATCCTGTGATGATTTATTTGTAGATCTTTTTAGTTGGTACAAAATATATAATGAATGCAAGACATTCATTTGATTTTGGTTATAAATATTCCAAGCTGAATCTTGATAATGCACATGTATTATTAACATTAAGTTTTATTTCAGGAAAAATATCCATATACGAAAGAAAAGATGAATACAATGCAAAAATAACTAGGTGAATACATTATTAAAGAGGTTTGAACTGAATAGAAGATTATATGTCATGTTCACCATACTTTCATGCCATCAAGATACTGAAAATAAAATTAAATTGAGAACGCCGTACAATTTTTTGTGATACAAGAGTCCAAAATGTCATAAAAAAGGGTCATTTTCACACTGGTTTCTATGGTGAGTCTATTTCTTCATTTTTGCTCAGTGACATGGGATGATATATTATCATTGACATGAATCATAATATACAATGTCTCAAGGTTTTATACAACTATCAACTTAATTTGATTAAAAGCAGCTTAAACAATTCTCATCTTGACAGACTATTTTAATACCTGTATTTTGTTTTCCTTGTTTGCTGTACCTATTTATAAATTTGAGTCTTTATATCCATGCTCGAGTACAAAGGTTTATAATTTTTTTAGACCTAGTGAGAGGGCCATGCACTGCCACTAGCATACAAACATACTGCATTATTGACACGAAATGGGCAATTTTCTGGTCACTACAAGATTTCTCGTATTGGGTGAAAGGTTCGAAGCAAACGTCTGCTGCAAAAAGCATATGATTTTAATTTCCTCCTTTGTAGTTCAATGTCGAAATGCTGAGTTTTAGAGGGGTGTATTGCATTTGAATACCTTTACTTCATAAAAGTTGACCATCGTCAAATGTGTATAGCACATTATTAAGTACAGAAATACCCAACAAATACTTTTGCGTTTGTCAAATCCCACACGATGTTTTGGCACCCCTACAACTCTATGACATTTGTTTGTCCTGTTATTACATACGATTTCAAGCATAACGCAGTGAGCAGAAAATTACACCACAGCAATATTACATACATAGTTTGCAAGTAATGTCAGGCTCATCAAAGGGTTGTGTACTGATCAGGATGTGACCCTCACCCCTCTGTCATTTATTTGATAAACAACACAATCTTCTGTATTCAAAGACATGTAGGTATTCAGGAATTATTCAATTGCAGTATGCCAACAACATTTTCAAGGATATTTCCACCCATGAATTTACCTAATTTTATTTGACTAGATAAAACAGTCATTAACTTTCTCTCCATTTTTCATAAATTATCTCAAACATCAATGGTGATCTACTTTTTTGGAAATATCTACTATGGACTACAACTATTTTGTTCATCTGATATTCTTCTTATTAATGCATCCGATAAAACATTACAGCCACAAAGGTCATACTGTCCCCACCCAAACTGGCCTAGATAGTTCTTTTAGACACAATGTACTCAATGTCCACATAAAAAACATCCTTCACCCGCACAGAATAATGTTACGGTTTTGACCCAAGTGCCATCAAATAATATAAACAGATGACACAAATTTTGATGAGACCTTGTCACAGTTATTACGTCAATGATCTGCTGACTACTGTATTCAGATAACAGTGTTGTGAATTCAGTAATTAGGGCAAAAAAGAAAAAGGGCAAAAAAAAACAAAAAAAAAACACGTTTTGCTCCTGGTCATCACGCACCATCATTTTGAAACCCGCATACTGATGAGGTGCACCATGTACGGTAGAATGAAGCAAATGTTTGTTTTGTTTAAGAGGATGTTTTAGAAACCATTATTTAATAAATATTAAATAAATATCATGCAATTGTGGTATTGATACATGTATAATCTCAACACAAACAAAATATTAAACAGTGCATTTTTTTTCAATTTTCCCTAGGTAGAGAAGCAACAATTATTTGTTGTTGGCCGCACATGTAGGCATATACATCACAGCACTGTAATTATTATTGACAAAGTAGATATATACAGGCTCTCGAGACAGCCAAATAAGTGACCTTTGTTCATATAATTCCCTACATGTACAAAATTGATGACTTGTATGTCGAACTCAATAAAAGTAAAAGGCCCTCAAAACCTCCTCCATTTGAACAATATAATAGTCAATTCCTTAACCATACATCAACACTGACATCTTTATATGCAAAACCATTTTTCCAAGAAAAGACTATCAGTGTCATGCACAAATTATGAATTGTGTGGTAACTAAGCTTTCAACACTGAGTCCAGGTAAATTGTATCCATACTATACTGGGTCCACAGAAAGTCCCTACTGCTATATCTATATGAAGTTGAATGTTAGCTAAATGTTATGGTGTAAGGTTCAATGATTTATATTTGATTCATATGTAAGTTATCACACAGTTGTTATACTGACCTAAATAAGGGGGGGGAGTGGCTGTACTCGTGCAATGTTCCAAATCTAGGCTTGTTTGTTTATTTAATCCCTATAAGCATTAATATTCTGCACTGAAAAAGATGATTTTTTTTCGTCGATTTCCAGAGTCCGGGAAAATGTTGATATTGTGTGGTAGTAAATGTTATTCTCTGATATCCTAAATTCAGCGTTTTACTGTGACTTTTGCAAAATTTATATAACCTGAGAAAGAATCCACTTATATAAGTAAGAAATTAGTTAATGAAAACAAATTAACAATCAATTATAACATTTCTTACTAAATATTCTATAACATTTTTAAAGTCACAAGAAAAACAATGACAAAAACAACAATGGTGAGAACAGACATTTTCAAGTTCATCAACATATACTTAGAGAAATGTTTTATCTAATAATTATCTTTGAATGGTGAATAAATTTCAAAGCTGTTACCAAAGCTGAATAGGAATTCAGCTCCAATTGGTATGGGGTTATCTATTAAAATGATTTGTGTTTATTACACACTCTATTGCATCACGGATGTCCTTGGCATAGTTTGAAATGTGGGCAGTATCCAACAGAAACAAAACATTGGCACATGCTTGTATCATACAAGGTTTTTTCATTAGAAAAAAGAGAAAAACAACAGATTTTTGTTTACAACAAGATTTGGGTGTTTTGCTGTACCGATAGTACTGTGTTTGCTCTGTTAGAAGGGCATCTCTGAAAATTGTTTTTATTATTCTTGATTATATTCTTAATTATAATGACCATAGACACACCTCTATCATTTATGTGACAGCATTGCTATTAACAGAGCAAAAATGGAAACCTATGTTCATTGGTTAAGGATGATATCAATTCAAAATATGGAGGATTTTTTTTATTGGGTTTTATTATCACACATTCAATAATAGTAAGATTACATCCAAGTATTTTAAAGTTATTATTCTATTTTTTGAATACAATATAAAAGTGTATAAAGCGCTGAAATATAATGGTAATATTTTGTTTTTGATGATATTGTTTTGAGTCCAGCTGGAGAGATCCCTGATTCACCTATGATGCAGTCAAAGAATATGCAAACAGCTGTGGAAACCAAAGCCAGACACTTTCTCAATGTGTTCAACTGATTGTTTTGAAATACAATAAATACAGCCCAATAATATCAACAAAATATCAGTAGCTATAAAATTTGTTATTACTAGAAACTATAGTAAAACTGAAAGAACAAGCTGACCTTTCTGGTGTGACAGCCATTATAATTTATTTTCACCTCAATCAAGTGGCATAAGATTATATTACATTTCAAGGCTGCAATGTGTTTATAAGTGAATACCAAGTCTGAAACTGACAGGAAAAAGTAGCTGCCTCACTACATAGCCAGTCCTAAACCTAAATTATGTGACCTAGTGTACTAAATAGATATGATTATTGATACATGTTGAAATTGGGTCCACCCTCATTTCAACTGGGACAGGGAGATTGATAAGGATTAAAGGTTAATGTTTTCAGTGAAATATTGGCAAGTCAGCAGTCTTACAATCAGTAAGATCCAAGCAATTACATGCACTGATGATGTCATACAAAGTTTTGGTACGATGTATCACTGCAAAGATAACTATGCTTCAAGTAAATGTAATGACAATTGGAATCAGCTGTGTTATGCTCTTATGCAACCTTTTGATCTCTCCCAAATCTATCTGTCATTCCACAAGACTTGATCTGGGTGTGAGTGAAGGCATAGCAGGCAAACTATCTAGGCATAGCTGTTTAAGGAAGGTGGCAGCTTACACATTTATAGGACGACAATTTAGGGAAGTTGATCACTGAATACCCAAACTACATTGTTGTTTTGAATTATGTACCTCAATTATTTTCCAATCCATGAAAGTGAAAGTAAGGTTTAAAACTATAGGTATATCATAAAGTCAAATTGAGGTTCCTTTCAATTTTTATTTGTTCTCTGTTATTTATTTGATGGAACATTTCACTCAGCAACATAAAAAAGATTTGTACTGCTTTTAGAATTCCACATTTTTTACAAGTTAGCGCATTAGGAATGAATTTAAAGCATTGTAAAGTTCATTACTGCAGAAACATTTTACAATACTGTATTCACTTTGTGATTTACACAACTGATTTGTGGAATCTAAACTAACAAGAAATACACACAGAATTTCACCTCCAAAAAAATAACAAAACATATAGTGAGTTTTTCAAGCAACACATGCATGGCACCTGTTCCAAAGTTTCAAATGACTCATTATTTGCTATCGAAATCGATCACATACCACCACTTAATTCTCAATTTTAGAATTGTTTAAAAGCATTTATCAGCGTATTAAGAAAAGGTGTTTGACTTTCTGATGTGTGATTTATTTAAAAAAAAAATGGTTTATAACAAATTGTTATATATTATTTAATTTATTACTGAGGTAGGTTGCATTTGTGGGTAATGTTTGAAGGGATGTTGTGTTTGCACTGTATCTTGTTCGATATTAGACAGATAGCCATGTACACAACAGTAATGCATGTAAAAAAACATGTGCTACCTTTAATTCTTATTACGAGAAGTTATATTTCACATTTCCAACGTTATATCTCATCCATTGCACATTACCAAATTTCCAGAGTTTTTTTATCTTGACTTTGATGAACATGTGCCTATAAATAGCCGAGGCTATTATTTTACGAAAGTTAAAACTTCTAAAATATCAAATTGAATGCCAAGGTCATCACTAATAGACCTAGGATACAGAAAGACTTGAGAATATGTTTATAAACACCCTACCTATAGTGCACTTGACATTGGCAAATGAGATCCCCTAGAGAGAGATTCAGAGCCGACACAGCCAGATTACTAACAAAACATACAAGACTTCCATTGGTGAAGTTAAACAGAAAATATGTCTTATGAAAATATCCATTTGTGAACTTAATTCTCATGCTGTTATTACATCTACCTTAGAAGGCGGGTTGAAAAGAAATAAGTTCAGACTGTCAATTTTTTCAAATTGACAATTAGGTTACATTTAATTTACTTTATTTAGCTACATATATTTGTTTCAAGTTCAACATATTTTATTTTGGTGTTGAATTACAATAGCCAATGAGAGATTGTAGAAAGTATCTCATTCGCAAACTTGACCTGAAATCACCTATTAGTGGGATAGTAAATTGATATGCTATGATAGCTTATCTACTCCAAAGTTTTAGGAAGGCTTAGTCAGCTTAAGGACACTTATTATAAATTCATTCCATCTTACTTGATAAAATCCAGCTCACACAAATAAGATACTTAATATATCCACAAGCTCATCAACAGCCTCACTGAACTCTTGAGGTTCTTCAATGCTCACATTTCATATTCGTGAAATTATATTCTTTTCTTGGGAGCATTTTCATCGCCTGGCAACCACAACCAGTGAAAACAATGGTCAAAAACTCATAAAAAAGTGTACTTTGTGCTAGTTAACTCTTCTGAACAGTGTAACAAGATTACCTCTACATGTACAATATTTATAAATTTGGTTGTTCGGGATTGTCTCATGATTGAGTTTGTGCTGTGCTCGACTTGAGTTGTTTTTATCAGCTCTTCAACCACCTTTCCACAGCAGAAAATGCAGAGCCAATAGAAAAGCATGTACAGTGATGCACATCGTAGCAACATAGAACGTTCTGTGACCTAGCAACGCTCTGAGAATAACAGCATCCAGTGTCAAAACTAAAAGCTAGACTGTGTAAATTAAAAATATACAGTCAGTGACATCATGCGTCCATTTCACCCAAATGTGTACTTGCCACCATATTGAACTGTTAATACAACGCAGTGTGTTGTGGGAAAATCAACGTGTTGATCAACACAAATCTAGCACTTGCAACACACAGCATCCACTGCCTTTTAATAGTTGTCTTTAGTAGCATGTTTGGGAATAAATAAAATTGACAGACCAATGTAAAAGGTTCAATTTGACTCACCTGGTTAACAGAATAGCAGTATCATGATGATTTGGGTGACTGTCATCTGCAGTGTTTTGTTCTTGCTGCCACTGGCAGAAATGATTGAGTGTATTCGGTGCATGTGAAGATATTTTTGGAGAATCTTTCTTCTGAAAAATTGAATATTTTTCAATACACAAATATAAATACATTGACTGAAACAAGACAAATATTTCATTTGAAAGAAGACAAATATTTCATTTGAAATCAGTCTTATTCAAATCTGAAAGAGACAAAGTGCTTGCATATTGTTTAGACATTTTATGACGGTTTGTGATTCGCCAACTACTTTTACACCTCACCATAATCTACAGTAATTATCAACCCAATATGTGACATCACTGCATGACTTATACAATATGCCTCTGCTGTTCGTGTTTATAAATAATTTACATACATGCATTTGTTGAACAATTGCAGATATGTTTTAGGATTTAATTTTCGCTGATTTCACCTCAACAATGCTTTTTGGTAATTAAATGAGACATTCAACTCCTTCTAACATAATCCTCTTTTCTCTGATACAGCATCCATCTTGTCACAAACCTTGCTCGAGGCAGGCTACATTTCTAACAATTACCAGAACTGAACAGAAATAAGTTAATCAGGAACAAAGCAGAATACTAAACTTAATAATGCTACTTATTTTGTATAGGTATACTAAATAACCCAACTGACTGACCTAATATTGATTACTGACCCGACCCAGTATTGTGAGTGCAAATGGTTGTGAGAGTGATTTGCATTGCTTTGCGATTATTAGCCCTGGGCAAAGCTTAGTCAAGTCTAAAAAGGAATGCAGCTTGTAACAAAGTTGTATCTAAATCATGGAAATCTTATCATTCTAAGATCATAATCAACTGTAATACCCTTGAGGGAAACTAAAAGTTCAATCTTGCAAAGCATCATGGGTAATCAACTGATTGAAATAAACCATATAGTACTAGGGTAAATCTGTTGAGATATTTTCAGTTGTAGTATGGAAGCTTGGACCATCATTCTGACTATAAAGTGAACCTTAGAAAAGGTAACCATGTTGTTAGTCAGTGTGTGCTGTCCCAGTCCTGATGAGAGAGAGATCCCCAATACTGTGTTTTGCTGTTGGCAGATAGAATACCCAACCTTTTGTGTTGCAATTTACAACTATAAACACCTTAGCACTGATAATATAGCATATATTAATAGTGATTACTCGTGTTTGAGTTTTTTCCTAGTCACACAGGAGGGCCAATAAAAAAGTGACAGTGATACTGAAAAAATAAAATATAGTCCTGATTCATTAGTAGATAGACATTGGAACCAATATTTGGAATATTTATCATACACCATGAAAAACAGTAAAATATATTTATTAAAAATAAAGGGGGCAAGCTGTTGAAATCATCTCCTCACACCTGACTGACAATTTTGCATGCTAAACTACGGTAGCTTAAAAAAGATGGTTCAATAGCAAGCCTAAATTATTTGTGACCAAATTGTTCAAGCTGGCTTGAAAGTTAGAGGGTGACAAAAAAGAGAAACTGTTTTTTAATAGATAAAATTGTACAAAATCTCGAGAGATTAAAACTTGAAAATAAGATTCTAGTGTTTAATTATTTGATTAAAGATGCATTATAGTTATACGAGTGATAATAATTAGTGATTTCCCTTGACGCAGCAATGGACCAGGTTATTGTGATATCTAGTGTCATTGCTGCTATTGTTCATAACTTTAAAAATCTTTACTTACCTGTTCATCAATGACAATTAACTTGACCACAGTTATACTAATAGAGTTACCAATTGATTTATCTTTGTAAATGCTACTTACCTAGAAAATATCAAAGTATGTTAAGATATTATTTTGAACAAGTTATCACACTTTATATATCATTCGTAAGATTTAAGGCCCTTTGAGCTGAATTCAAATTTAGCACTACTGAGCATGTTACTGCACATATATGCAATGCGTTATGGGAGATATCCTCCCATTGTATAGAAAAACTAGTATCATCCTGGAAACTCCCTAAATTTTTTTTTTAACGATTTCACAATGTTAGATTTCATATCAATACAACTTTTTCATCCCATGTTACCGAGCAAAAATATGAATAAATACAGGAACCAGTGTAAAAATGACAATTTTGACCATTTTCCATGATATTTTAGACTCTTGTATCACAAGAAAAAATCATCTAGTGACCCCAATTTTTTTTGTTCATTTTCGGTATTCTGATGGTATGAACAGATAATAATGAAGGCATGACAAATATGACATATAATCTTCAATTTGATTCAAATGTTTTTAATAATTGTGAGAATATGTATACCAATAATATACTACATAACACATGGTGTGACTACAAATACTTACTAATGCCATGAGAGTTAGAACATAGTGCTCTAAATCTCCGCCATGGTAGGCCAACATCTTACTATCAACTGCTATCATGGTTTCAACAAACCTTTCATATGAATTAAATCTTTTCTGACGTGATTTTGTTGATCTGTTGGTATGAAAAAGATTTGGGTTATACTTCTTATGAGTATTACATTGTATGGGTAAAAAAACTATATTTTTGTACTTTTAACAGCATTCTGGATTTATATCTTGACAGAATCCTACAATGCTACTGTACACTGTTTTAATTTTGCTGCTAGGAATTTACACGAATAAGGATTTTATGGCATTTGTGAGGCAAAATTTTGAAAAAGTCATAAACCCTAGAAACATTTTCACTATCTTATGAAATTCATGAAAATTCGTCGATTGTGAAATTAAAGCTGTTTATAATATAGAATCTCATGTACAAATAATGCAATCTCATCTTAGTGTAGTCAAATATCATGATAGACATTTTGTGCTTTCAATAGTGTCAACAATGTTATCACCATTTTTGAGTTTATTCAGTGCATAATATTTTGAATGAATAATCATCGTATATCAATGAAGTCCACTTTGATGTATTACAGACATTTCTATAGCATATTAATAGTGCATCAAAAAATCATACATTGATTGGAAAACATCTTACTGCAGTTACAAAATTAGTAATCTGGAAAAATAAAACTCAAGTTTAAAATAAGCATTATATTTTTCACTTTTAGTACATGACAGCCACATATAATCTTTATTTTTTCTTGAAGACATCTAACTAGCTTTATTTTAAATTGGAATCCATCCTGATTATTAAAAGGCACACTGGTTGTAAATAAAATACATCTTGTAAGAGCAGGACCATCCACTATGTAAACCAATCCACATAAATTACTATAACACAGCTTGGTTTTCTATTTATGTAATATAGCACATCATAGGGTGTAGGTGGTTTGGCTTTGATGTTTTCATTAACCCAATGGTATTCATTAAATCTAATAAAGGGGTAACAATTTTATGCTATCCTAATTAACCGCAAAGAAGTTGAGACATTCCAAATACAATAAACCCACACAAGAAGAAAAGTGAAACAATCAATTAATAAATAGTACAGGTCAACTTTGGTATGAAAACGTTTGGGCTGTTTTTAGTTTTTCTATTAACCCACATGACCTACAGTTTTGTTGGAATTTCTGGTGTTCCCTTAAGAGGACTAATGATGTAGTCAGTCTGACAGGGAAAGAAGTATACATTAAGATTTCTCTGATTTAAGGAATAAATTAACATTCAGTGTTTTTTACTCTGCGGTAGGTGATAAAGAATGAGAACCAGGTAATTAGTATAACACAGTAGGGTTGTGTCGCCCTCTGTTGGTGGCTTCAGTTGTGACACTGAAATTGAAGAAGGTTGTGCAGATTGGCCAACAGGCAGCAGCATTATGATCATAACCATTTTTTTGTAAATGACAGAGGTGAGACTATTGTCAAAATAAGATTATTTCAATAATCTAAAATACATATAAATACGATTTTATGTGCGCTTCCGAAAGAGAAAATACAGTAATTGTCATATTAAACACAGCTGTCTATCACATTCATAAAACTTGGTGGTCAGTCAATTATGTAAGTCACACACTGAAGTACAGTGTATTGGTAGAGTCTATTTTTCAGTTGCAACTTCAAATTATGTAAAAATAATAACATTTGTATATTTTCTATTGAGCTGAATGTTGCTTATAGTTGTATGCATGAATGAAAAAAATCAATCAGAGGATCATTTAGGCAAAATAAAATTTTTCAATTATATTTTCAAACCCTATTTTTTAATTACAAAACAATTAATATCATGATAACAATAGGATTCATCTGTATGCTAACCACAGTACGAGCATGTTCGAAAGTGTTATAGACACGTTCAAATATCTTCCTTATTTGGAAAATGTGCATCATATTTATATTACATTTAAACACGTCCTTTGTTTACATCAAACTTAGCAACATTGTAGCATGTGGAATCATGCAGACACGAATACTTTTCGCTAGCATTTCAGGTTGTCATATCTCACACATTATGAGTACAAGAAGAGAAGATATATAATAATAATAAGATTATGACGAGAATAGTAACTACGTGCTGGTTGATACGAATGCCGTATTGCCTTCGTCAATATATTACAGTCAATATATATTTCGGGAATAACCTATATTAGTATATACTAGTAATTATTTTATAGCAATCAAGTGTAATAACTGTCACTTTGTACTTTTCAAATTGTCAGACCTACATTCCTGCATGTAAGCCATATAGTTGGCACAATCTTGGCAGATGCATGGAGATTCAAATAAGGAGTATGGTATTTTACTTTAACTGGGTACAATCAGCTCAATGATGGACATTCTCCAGTCTTGCATGCAATCCCTCAGAGAATAAGGCAAAACAAATGGATGTACTGTGTTAATGTTTGACAAGTAAGGGATTATGTTACAAATCATAGATTAAAAGGGATGGGGCCTACTCAAATGGGATAGCAAACTTCAAAATAAAAACATCCGGGACGCTTCCTCTTTAAAGCTCATGAAGCAGATGGAGATTAAATAGACAGGTCAGAACTTTCAGGTCTAAAACAATATCTAATCACACATTTAGCTACCAAAATAATATTAAAAATTATTACTTACTTAAGATTTGTATTTCTTTGAGTTGATTTTCTCTGTTCACTCTGAAGAAGTGTATGATGATGGTGATCTGCAAGAATAAAAAGATTAAAATTGACAATGGTTTTAAAAATCAATGTACTTTTCAAAGGCAGATAGGACGCAATCCAATCCATCAATAAGGTCAGCACATGGTTGCTCAATTTTGCTTTGATGAAAAAGCAACATGGCTCACTTTGAGCAAATCTTTTCATCTGCAAGTTTAAAAATAACAATGTATCGATTACTTTTGGTGTTCCTATTTGCAGTATTGTCATGAGCTCATCGTTACAAATTTAAAAATAACTCACGTAACTAAAATGTAACAATTTCGCTGTCACAGTAACCTACGTTTGTGTGTGAATTCAACTGCATAGATTCTTGGTCACGGTATTTTTCTTGACAATGCATGAGAGAAACTATCAAATTGTAAATCAAAATTGGAAAAATTCTTTGGATTCTTGTCACCTTTCTGCATATACTCTTGCTAATCAGTTAACTTTTGTGTATAGACATGTATTGCATTGAATGCTGTAAAAGATTGCAAAAGTTAACCAATTGATAGGAAAAATATTCAGAATGGGTCGCATTTTGTATTATGGCATTAAGTGCTTTAACATATTTTAGAAAATGGGTACCGAGTACTAATGTTTCTGAAGCTAGATCCCTTTTTAAACCAAAATTGACTATTTTTTTAATTAAAAATGTGACCATAATGGTGGGTAAAATAAGAGAAATTACAAAATATGCATTGTTTTATGCATCACCACAGAATTTGATCAAACCGACCATGTTTACTTTTTGCATGAACTCTCACAATAAAAAAGTCATGGTTGTCATGTTTTCTTTGATCTTGCCTCCTGAGTGTTGTTCAGTGTTCTAGTTCAGTGATCAAGTGTACAAGCTCCTGTTTCCGATTAAGGCAGAGCCAAGAGTTTGTCATCAAAATATCCTACACCAGCCTTTGAAACCCAAAATTGACCCTTGTAAATTATGTACACTGCAATAAAAAAAACAGTCCAATGTTTTGACTTTGACACTAATGACGCCAGACAGACTTGGATTTTAAACAGCAGACTTTCCCTAATCTTAGTATTTCTAAAAGAACTGAAAGATATGGTGAGAAATGTCCTTGGTCCTGATTTGTTACCCCCCTTTTAAACTGTCATGTCAAGTGATTTCACTGCTAATCAGTTACAGTACTAATGTGCTGCAGACCATGACAAATACACAATAATATAAGTATACTACCACTATTTCAGAAACAGATACATTTAAAGATATGCTTGCACTTTTATACTTGAACTACCATCTGTGAGCCATTTTTATTGAACCAACAAGCTTAAGATCATTTTGATGAGACATAAAAACTTTGTTTTTTGCATCAATATGTACTAATTTTACTAGCATGTAAATTAATCCCACCAAGTGCAATGTCAGGAATAATCCAGATCAGTTTACTCCAGGGGATATGATTTCTGAATCATTAGCCACTATTGGGACAGGAGGATCCAAGAATGGGTTGCCTAGCTAAAAAATGATTTCTGAATCATTAGCCACTATTGGGACAGGAGGATCCAAGAATTGGTTGCCTAGCTAAAAAATGATTTCTGAATCATTAGCCACTATTTGGACAGGAGGATCCAAGAATTGGTTGCCTAGCTAAAAAATGATTTCTGAATCATTAGCCACTATTGGGACAGGAGGATCCAAGAATT